ATGATATACATTCTAGAGCTGAGGTATTATGTTAACTCTTTCTTGTTTGTCATTTTTTTCTTATGAGAAGTACTAGTGCATGCATGAATGGAACTTTCTTTGCTCTATACAATTATTTTTTTGCTTAGTATATATAATGGAAGGCCTACAAGGCTTGTAGGCCATGTCAGGCTTTCTTATTTTCTAAAATGGGCCGGGCTTGGCCTACAAATAAAGCCTTTAATAGGCCAGTAGGCCAGATAGGCTGAATTTTTTTTGACGTAGGCTTGGACCAGGATGGCCAAAGCCCAGCCTAGCCCAGCCCATTTACACCCCTACTTGCAAGTCGTCACATGAAATGACACCACCTAGATAAAAAAATTGTCGGCGGAGAAAACTGGCACCGGTCATCAAAGCAATTTTTTAAGGCGCCGGAATGATGTCTCACACATGTGGCATGTTTTCTTGTGCAAGAGTAACCGATTTTGATAAAATAAATTTTAAAAAATATTTTTTGGTAAATAATTTTAAAAAAAATACTACTTTCATTTTATATGAAAATATTTCTCTCATTGTACAGAGAGAAGTTAAGTGAGACCTATTATTAAAGGATAAAAAATAAATTAATCAAAAAAAAAGGATAAAAAATAAAATGGGATGAGATTTTTCAAGTAAAAGAATATAATATAACTATCTCGTATTAAATAAGAATACTATTTCCCTTAATTTTGTTGGTGTCTATTCAATCTATTAACTACAAATAACTCATTAAGGTTTTACGCATGATTAATTGCAAGTTTCATGCATCACATGAAATGGCACCATCTAGAAAAAAAATTGTCGAAGGAGAAAACTGGCACTGGTCGTCAATGCAATTTTTTAAGGCGCTTGAATGATGTCTCACACACGTGGCATGTTTTCTTGTGCGAAAGTAACCGATTTTGTTAAAATAAAATTTTAAAAATTGTTTTTTAGTAATTATTTTTATTGGTATCTATTTAATCTATCAACTACAAATAACTCATTAAGGTTTTGTTTTATACATGATTCATTGCAAGTTTCATTGTGTGGTAAACTAAAGTTAGAAGCTTTTGATGGGATCAAAAGAAATAATCATGAGCTGACTTAAGAACAAGTAGATGATTATAACTTGACAAGAATTTCATGAATATAAACATATTTGTCTATTTAAGGGCTTCATATTGTATATGTTTTATATATGTTTTGTGACTAAGATCAAGTTTAATATTTTACAAAATAAAAGTCAAGATGAAAAAAAGGTGTTGGTGAGGCCATTGTCTTGCCTTCGGTATAGGTTCCAGTCAAATCAAATAATACGTTTGGGTTAATAAAAGTAAGTAGAAAGAGTTGTCCATTGATTAGTAGCTACTAACTTTTGGTCTTATGATAAACGCTTGATCCAACCCTTGATATCAAAATCAAGGTCATGAGTTCGATTCTCTTGGATGACAATCCATCGCACAAGAATTCTTGAACTTGAAACGTAAATAATATACAATTATTATTATTATTTTTGCTTGGGCAATGAAATTGGAACATGTTGCCCTATGATGCGCCACAATTGTGGAGTGCACAGATCATACACGGCAACATGCTACTTTGTGCAACACTACGATTCCAAAAGAAACCTATTAGAAGAAGAAATTGGAAAGAACTGTAACAAATTTCATTCTGTAAAACTGAGAGTCATGTGTACAGAGAGCATTGCTCTTATATCAGCAAAACGTGTACTAACAGAAAAGAGAGAGAAAATAACAAACTGAGGCATATGTGGCACATGAGCCAATAACCAATATCCTATACATCAGTAACTAACTAAAAGAAAAAGAATAAAAGTGTATATTCTAATACTCCCCCTCAAGATGGAGAGTGAATATTGTGCACTCCCATCTTGGAAAGAAGAGAAGAAAACTGAGCCGGATGCAGTGCTTTAGTGAAGATGCCAGCCAACTGATGTGCAGATGCAATAGGAAAAGTTTGAAGACAGCCTTTCACAATTTGTTGTCGAACCAAGTGGCAGTCAATTTCAATGTGTTTTGTTCTTTCATGGAACACAGGATTTGCAGCGATGTGAAGGGCATCAGTATTGTCACAAAACAAGTGAGCAGCAGTGGAATGAGTAATGTGAAAATCTTTGAGAAGAGAAAATAACCAAATAAGTTCACAAGTGACAGCAGCCATGGACCTATATTCAGATTCAGCTGATGATTTTGAAGCAGTAGCTTGTTTGTTGGATTTCCAACTGATTAATGAATTGCCCAAGAAAACACAAAAACCAGAGATGGACCTTCTAAAGTCAGGGCAAGAAGCCCAATCTGAATCAGAAAAAGCATTGAATTGAATTTTGGAAGATGAAGAAAACAATAAACCTTGACATGGAGTGCCTTTCAAATAGGACAGGACCCTGTAAACAGCAGCAAGATAGACAGTTCTAGGGGCAGACATGAATTGGCTGAGATGATTAACAGTGTAGCAAATATCTGGGCGAGTTATTGTGAGATACAATAAGCGGCCAATCAGTCTACGGTATTAGGATTGATCAGAGAGGAGATCACCTGAATTGGATGAAAGTTTGAGGTTTGGCTCCATGGGTGTGGATTTTGGTTTGCAGCCAAGGTAACCAGCATCAGACAAAATTTGCAATGTGTAATGGCGTTGACAAATAGATATACCTACTGAGGACCTAGCCACTTCAATGCCAAGAAAGTATTTCAAAGAACCCAGATTTTTTAATTTGAATTTGCTGTCCAGGAACGAAGTAAGGTGGTGAATCTGTTCAGAACTGTTGGAGGCTACTAAAATATCATCAACATACACTAAGACATCAACAAAAGAATTATTTGAATTCTTGGTGAATAAGGAATGATCAGTTTGAGAGTGAGAAAACCCAGGAGATAAAAGAGTGGAAGAAAACTTAGCAAACCATTGACGAGAAGCTTGTTTCAAACCATATAGTGACTTATGAAGCTTGCATACAGCATTGGATGGGAGAGACCCCCTGTGTAGGATAACCGGGTGGGAGAGACATGTAAACCTCCTCATCAAGCTCTCCATGTAAGAAGGCATTATTGACATCTAGTTGAATGAGATGCCAATTGTTTATAGCTGCAAGAGCAAGGAGAAGCCGAACTGTTGTGATTTTTGCAACAGGAGAATAAGTCTCCATGTAATCCAAACCTTCTAGTTGAGTAAATCCTTTAGCAACCAAGCGAGCTTTATAACGCTCAAGAGACCCATCAGAATTGTACTTGACCCGATACACCCATTTGCAACCAACAGGATGTTTTCCTTCAGGCAAAGAGACTATGGACCATGTCTGATTGGTTTTGAGAGCAGTGATTTCTGCATTCATGGCATCACACCATTCGGGTAATTGGGAGGCTTCAGAATAGGATGAGGGTTCAAAATGAGAAGATATATTATTAATGAGGGTGAGGTGTGAAGGTTTGATTTTGGAATATGATAAATGGGCTGAGATGGGATGTATGGTAGAGGTTGAACAAACAAAATCTGAAAGATGTGGTGGAGGTCTTTTGGTGCGTGAAGGCCTAGTGGTGAGATGATCAGATGCTTCAGTGGTAACATTAGGAGAAACAGATTCTGACTTATGAGGTAATGAAGTCAGAGGGGTGGAGAAATGAGTAGAGGAAACAAAAGGAAATATAGACTCATGAAATATAACATCTCTGGAAATAACTATCCGATTGGTGGATAAGTCAAGAAGCTTGTAAGCTTTAAATCCAGGAGGATAGCCTAGGAAGACAGCAGAGGAAGAACGGGGAGAGAATTTGTGTTTGTCACGAGAAAGTGTGGAATAGAAGCATAAACAACCAAAATTACGAAGATGAGTATAAGAGGGAGGTTTGTGGGAAAGAAGTTCAAAAGGAGTTTTGTGATGAAGAAGAGGAGAAGGAACACGGTTAATGAGATAAACCGCAGTGACAACACAATCAGTCCAGTATGCTAGGGGAATATGGGATTGGAAATGCAGAGCACGGGCAACATTGAGAATGTGTTGATGTTTGTGTTCAACAACTGAGTTTTGTTGAGGCCTTTCAACACAGGAATGAAAAATTTGAATGCCTTTAGAAGAATAAAAATCAGTGATGTTAAACTCAGGGGCATTGTCACACCGAATAGATTTAATAGGAGAGGAATACTGAGTAAGGATCAAATTATAAAAAGAAGGAAAAATGTGGAAAAATCAGATTTATTTTTAAGAAAATGTACCCATGTAAAACGTGTGGCATCATCCACAATGGTAAAAAAATATTTATCACCATAAACAGAAATGGGGTTAAATGGTCCCCAGATATCACAATGTATCAAGCTAAAAGCATTTGCAGACATATGAGGATTCAAAATAAAAGGTAATTTTTTTTTGTTTAGACAAAGGACAAACAGAACAAGGTGTGTGTGAAATAGTGTCTGTAAAATGCAAAGTGTCTTTCATTGAATGTAAAAGGGAGGGGGATGGATGGCCTAACCGAGAGTTCCATAAAACAGAAGAGGGAACAACAGTAGCCGAACAAAAGGGACGGGGAACATCAGAAATGAGGAAGAAATTTGAGGAATCAAAAAAATACAAGTCACCCGTGCGCCTAGCAATCCCAATCGTCTTGTGAGTTGTAGCATCCTGAAGCATACAAAAAGAACCAGAAAAAAAAAGCAAGGATGTTAGAATCTCTGGTTAGAGCACTAACGGAGATGAGGTTCAATGTAAAAGATGGAACAAAAAGAACGCGATGCAATGTTAAAGAAGAAGAAAGGGAAACGTTTCCAACAGAGGAAATTGGAATGCTAGAACCGTTAGGAAGAGAAATAGAAGCAGATGAAGAAGGGAAGGAAGGATGTGAAAGAAGAGAGGAGAGGTAAGTGACATAGTGAGTGGCACCAGTGTCAAGTACCCAAAGATTTGAAGGAATAGATGATGAAATCTTACCACTGAAGCTTGCGATCATGGGATTTGGAGCAGATGAGGTAGTTGATGACGAATCAGTTTAAGGTGTGGTGATGGTGGGATCAGGGTTTTTGTGGAACAGGGAAATTAGCTGATGATATTGAGTGGGGGTGAGGGGATCGTGTGGGGGTGGAGAGGAATAGGGTTGAGTAGTGGCTAAGTGAATTTGGGCCTGATGTGGAGGTGGGCCATATGGGTTTTTGGGGCTTCTGGGTTTGTAACCCGGTGGGAAGCCATGAAGCTTAAAACACTTGTCTCGGACATGGCCCAATTGCTGGCAGTGGGTGCAGTAAGGACGAGGGCGGCGTGGAGCGGAGACAGCGGCAGTAACCGGCGATGAAGCCATAACAGATGCAGCAGGAACGGTAGAGGCGGTGTTCATCATTGGAGTATCAAGGGATGGAGGGAAGGAATACGTGATTTGCCTTTGGCGTTCCTCTTGTATGACTAAAGAGAAGACGCGAGATAACTGAGGCAGTGGTTCCATAAGAAGGATCTGGGCCCTGATTGAAGAAAATGAGTCGTTCAACCCCATTAAAAATTGCATGGCATAGTCTTGTTGTTGGGTGGATGATAAAATCCGAAGAGCACCACAAGTGCAAGCAAGGTTGGGAGAATAATCTTTGAGTTCATCCCAAAGAATCTTCAGCTTTGTATAATAAGTGTTGACATCCAGACTCCCTTGATGCAACGAAGAGATTTGCTGCTTCAACTGAAATATACGCGGTCCATTGGCTTGATGGAAGCGAACACAGAGATCATCCCAGAGATCATAAGCTGTTGAAAAATATATAAGGCTATCAGCAATCTCTTTGGAGACAAAGTTGAGAAGCCATGAAATTACCATAGAGTTGCATCGGGTCCAAGCAGCAAAGAGAAGATCAGAGTGATCAGAACGAAGGAGACTGCCATCAACAAAACACACTTTGTTTTTTGCAGTAAGAGCAATGAGCATTGCTCGATTCCAGGAATTGAAGTTGGGTCCAGTGAGGGAATGAGTGACCAGAATGAGACCAGGATGATCACCATTCTGAAGATAGTAAGGGCTTGCAGAGTCCTCCATGGAAGTAGAGGAGGAAGCAACGTTGGATGTAGAAGAAGAGGATGGAATGGGGTTGGTGTTTTTGCCACCACGAGCCATGGAAAAAGGCTCGGAGGTAAAAAAAAGTCATCTGATACCATATTAGAAGAAGAAATTGGAAAGAACTGTAACAAATTTCATTCTGTAAAACTGAGAGTCATGTGTACAGAGAGCATTGCTCTTATATCAGCAAAACGTGTACTAACAGAAAAGAGAGAGAAAATAACAAACTGAGGCATATGTGGCACATGAGCCAATAACCAATATCCTATACATCAGTAACTAACTAAAAGAAAAAGAATAAAAGTGTATATTCTAATAAAACCATCACAGTGGTACGCAGCAGGTAAATGGTTCAACCAATTTGCAAAGGTGTGTCTATACCGTGGTGGCAGACGGAGGTCGCGAAGCAAGGAAAATCAATGTTGTTTGAACCTTGATATTAATTATAAGAAATAAATATAAATTAATATATATATATATATATATATATATATATATATATATATATATATATATATGGGACATGATCTTCTTACACCGGAGTAAGAGTAATAACTCTTACACTCAATCTTAACCGTTGATTTTCGCATATCCAACAGTTATAATTAATAATTAATTAATGAGAATAATGTAATTAATTACATTCGTTTGATAGACGGAAATCAACAGTTAAGATTGAGTGTAAGAGTTATTACTCTTACACTGGTGTAAGTTGATCATATATATATATATATACATACATATAAATATATATATATATATATATATATATATATATATATATATATATACATATACATATATATGGGAAAGGCTCTTTTGACTCTAGAGTAAGACTTTTAAGTCTTACTTTTAATCTCAGCCGTTGATGGACGGAAATCAACGGTTGTCATTAATAATGTAATTAATAATTGATTAATTAATATAACTTCCTAAATTATAACCGTTGGATGGGCGGAAATTAACAGTTAGGATGGGGAGTAAGACTTATAAGTCTTACTCTGAAGTCAAATGATCTCTCTCCTCTCTCTCTATATATATATATATATATATATATATATATATATATATATATATATATATATATATATAGGGTTTTTTTGATTCCAGAGTAAGACTTTCTATCTCAGCCGTTGATGAACAAAAATCAACGGCTGTCATTTATAGTATAATTAATAATTAATTAATTAATATAACTTCTTAACTATAACCGTTGGATGGATGGAAATCAACGGCTATGATGAGGAGTAAGACTTATAAGTGTTACTCTGGAGTCAAATGATCTTTCTCATATATATATATATATATATATATATATATATATATATATATATATATGGGTCAGGATCATTTTACACTAGTGTAAGTTACACGCTTAATCTTGTTCGTTGATCCCATTTATATTTAATGACTATAATTTTTTAGTAATGTGAGCTATTGGATACAAGTGGATCAATGATCAAGATTGAGGGTAAGACTTCTAACTCTTACACCGGTGTAAGAATATCCCGTCTATATATATATATATATATATATATATATATATATATATATATATATAGACACACACACACACACACACACAAGATTAGTGTTTTTCATGATATAAGAGATAATTTTATCTCGTACACACAGATAAAAATATGTGATATCTATGTTTTATTTTTCCTATCTTCTTTTCACATGCCCCACATAGAGTCCATATACTTTTATGTGTGTAGGATATAAAATTATTTCCTACAACATTAGAAACATTGATCCCTATATATATATTATCTCTTACACACAAATAAAAGTGTGTGGATCCCATGTAGGACTATGTGAAGATTAAAGAGAAAAAAAATAAAATGAGTTCTCCATATTTTTATATGTTTGTCAAATATAAAATTATCTCCTACAACATGAAAAACTCTAATCTCGTGTGTGTTTGTGTGTGTCTATATATATATATATATATATATATATATATATATATATATATAGGAGAGTTATATTTACAAACTCTTACAAACTGCATTATGTATTTTCGAAAATATACTAGGTACTTTCAGAAGTACATAATGTAATTTGCAAAAATTTATAAACAGATCACTCACACACACACACACACACACATATATATATGGGAAAATATTTTCTCATGTCGTAAGAGAGTTATTTTCTCCTACCAGTGACCCTTCGAGTGCAATATTTTCTTTTGCTTTTTTATTTTTTTAATAGATGTGGACCCCACATAAGATGTGTTTATAACATGAGAAAATCAAAACTATATATATATATATATATATATAACCATACGTTCTACGTTGGTTTTAAAAATTTACTTTTTGACATGAATCCATATAAATGAAAAATATAAAGATTAAAATTTCGGAGCGTGTATATTAAAATTTTATTTGATTTGATCATAATTTCGTTCATATTAAATATGTGAGGTTTAGTTAAAAATTATGAAGAGAAAGATAAATACATGTAAAAAAATAATACAAATTTTTAATAGGAGATAATCAATTCCCAATGTTTCAATAATAGCAACCAAAATCTAAATAAATAACAAGTATACATTGATATCTAAAACAAGAGTGTCAAATTTCAAATTTGACACCTCATCTGAGAGCCGTTAGATCAGAAAAGATCAACGATTCTGATTTACAAGCATGTGACACCATTGATCTTTTTTAATCTAACGGCTATCAAATTAGGTGTCAAATTTGAAATTTGACACTAGTGTCAAAAGATCCTACCTCCTAAAACAAATCGTAGAAATTAAAATCTTGAATAGTTAACAATTATACAAAAGGAAATTATACTCTTATGTTACATAAGACTCCTCTCTCATTTTACACTTATATAAAAAGACGTGTCTATCTTTTCTTTTTCATTTTTTTTTTAAATTGATGGGCCATACTTAATTTATCTCACAACATGAAATAACTTCTCTCATACAACATGAGAGAAATAAAACCCTTATACAAACTAAAATCTTAATTAATCACAAGAGACCCGGGGCTAATTAATGAACTCAACCTATTTGATATGCAAGGGAAACATGAATTGTAATTTCTTTAATTAATTTCTCAAAATATTTTTGTCAAATAAATAAGAGATCGATCTCCTAATTCGGGGACAATAACCATATTGCCACTTTTTAGGCAAAATTTTACCTGATTGTCACTTCTGAAAAAAAATTTGCCAAAATGCCACGCCTGAATCCCGCTGGTCTGACAAGCGGAAATGCCTGTGCTTTTGCCACGTGTCAGCATTCTGTCATTCTAGCTGGGCAGCCCAGCGAGAATGGTTGACCATTCAGATGCTGACACGTGTCCAGTCCATTCCCGCTTGTCAGACTAGCGGGATTCAGGCGTGACATTTTGACAAATTTTTTTTTCAGAAGTGACAATTAGATAAATTTTTATTAAAGGAGTGACAATATGGTCAATGTCCCCTTAATTTGAGAGCGAAGAACCAGACGCATAATCCAAAAGTGGGATCAAGGAAAACGGCTTGACGTGATAAGACAGAGATACAGTATGTCACTCTTCTCTCTCTTCGCTTTCTCGCTCTACTTTGAAAAGAAGTGTAGGTTAAAGAACCAACAGCGTGGGTCCCGCTCTATAATGCTGGGTCCCACTTTCTCTCTCATCCCTTCAAACAAACATTACAAAATTAATTAAAAAAAAACAGGAAAAGCAAAAGCTGCAACCATAACTATCACCAACACATCAACGACACTTTAGTTGCAGGCCAGAGAGGAGAGAGAAACTCACTTCTAGTGAGAGAAAATCCTTCAATACCCATCTTTCATTCTCACTCACCATTCCAGTTTTAGAGTGAGAGAGAGAGAGAGTTTTTATGTTATGTGGTGGAAGGTAAAGTGTGGAGGGTGTTGTTGTTGTTGCATTTGAACAAATAGAAAACATATTATTAGCATGGTTTTCTTCTCCATTTCAATGCTGGGTCTGTATTCCTTTTCTCTCTTATTACTGCTACCTTCGTTTCTTTCTACATCTTTTTTTGTTTTTTTGGGTTTTCTATTTTTATTTTTTGTTTTTGTTTTTGGGAGTCTAGATCTCTCTGTGTATTGTTTTAGGACTCATGGGTTTATGTGGGTAATTGTCATGCAATTTGAAATAGAATGGAATATTGGGTGTTCTGCATTTTGGCATTTCAACATTTTGTGTGTGCGCGCGTGTGTTTTTTCTTTTCTTAAAAGACTGGGTTTTCTGGATTAATCTTTCTATTAGTGATTACCATTTTTATAAAATTGATTTTGATTGTAAATGAAGTTAGATATTCGGTGATTCAAGTAACTTCGTAGTTTCCTGATCTGGTGGGCTTTCATTGATACCTTCCTTGTTGGGGTTTTCTGGGTTAAGGGTTTGGTATATAGAGTCCTTATTCTATCTAGGGGAGTGTAAATAGGTCAGACGGCGTTACAGTGGTCTCAACTTATATCAGGTTAGACTCAAATATGTTTAGACTTTAAAAAAGCCTATTTAAAAAACAGGCTTGAAGATTAATATTCCCAGTTTCATTTTTTTTTTTTTTTTTTTTCATCTTGAATTTTTATATTTCTAATCAATTAGCAAATGTGTATACTTTAAGTTTTTATGTATTCAGAGCTGCCTCAGTAATGGGAAATGAGATTTTTACATGGGACTCTGTTGTTGATGATGATGGCTGTGGTCATTGATGACTGAGGCTTCAAAGCAATTACTATTATTGGTTTTCTACGTGTTCAATTTCTATGTCGATTTAATTTGTGACGATGGTTGTGTTTTTAGCACCTCGCATTAAATAAAGCAAAGTTGGATTACTTGATTCTTTCATAGTTTGATTCCATTTTCTTCTTCTGTTAGCTAGTTTAGGACTTGTATCTCAGTCATGTTCATCCTCTTGTTTGTTGGTAAATGGTTGTTTATTAAAATCCTAGTTGAAATAAATGAAGCTCTTATTGAATGAACTCTTCGTTTTAATTGCAGGGTCTTCTTAACTAGGAGTCTTTATGTTATGATATGTGATATTGGGACATGGAGAGGGTTGCAGAGCCGAAGGCACTTCCTCGGTCATTTCCTATCCTTGTTGAGGTATCGAATGCGCACACGGCTGCAGCAAGAGAGGCAGGTCAGAGAATCGTTGGGCAGGAGGTTTCAAGTGCTGGGGGGATTTCAGCAAGAGAAGTGAATCAATTGTCAAAGGCAAGGGATGTGCCTATCTCGCGTTTGGCCTCCATCAGAGAAGTGGCTCAGTTATCAAATGCGCGGATAATTTTGGTAAGGGATGATATGGGATTCGATACTCGAGCCTCTCAAGAATCTCTCACCTTTGCGCCTGATAGAACATGGAAAGGAAAGGCCTCTATACCCGAACTAGAAGAACTGATGCCTGATGTTGAGATTGAGACTTTGAAGGATAGTAGTGATTCAATTGAGGATAGTGGTCCAAGTTTATTTGCTGGTGCTAGTCATCCCCCTGAACCTGTTGATACAGATCTTATGAGAACGGTTTATGTACCAATAGGTCAAAACAAATCTGAGGCTGGATGCTTAATGAAGAGCTTACCCTTGAAGGGCCCTTTCCTTGAAGATCTCTCAATTCGTGTTCCCACCAACAAACCAAGTCCAGCTTTTCTTTCCCCTGAAGAAAGTCTGGTTGAAGAATTAAATGACATAGTAAACTTATCCTCACCATTTTTGGGTGCACGAGCATCACAGAATACCGAGAACTCTCTCCTCCCTCCAGATTCTGAGGAAAAAGAATGTGTTTGGGATGCTTCTCTGCCTCCTAGTGGCAATGTCAGTCCACTTAGTAGTATTGATAGTACTGGTGTTGTCACAGCAATGAGCATTGTTAATAGTTGCGCTAGTACATATCGGAGTGATGCAATCACTAGTGATGGCATGCTTAGTTTAGACAGGAACTGTGATAGTACTAAAGGGAGTGTAAGGGGTGATTCACTAGAGAGTGCAAAAACTAGTGCTAGTCGGGCAAGTGATAGCAGTGGCCTCAGTGATGACAGCAACTGGAGCAACATTACTGGTAGTGCCAATAAGCCTCACAAAGGAAATGATCCTAGGTGGAAGGCTATCCTTGCCATCCGATTACGGGATGGAATTTTGGGCATGAGTCATTTTAGGTTACTCAAACGACTTGGATGTGGTGATATTGGAAGTGTATATCTCTCAGAGTTGAGTGGAACTCGGTGTTATTTTGCAATGAAGGTTATGGATAAGGCTTCCCTAGCAAGCAGAAAGAAGCTGACTAGAGCACAGACAGAGAGGGAGATATTGCAGTTGCTGGATCATCCATTTCTACCAACTTTGTATACACATTTTGAGACTGACAGATTCTCCTGTTTGGTAATGGAATATTGTCCTGGAGGTGATCTACACACTTTAAGGCAGCGGCAACCTGGAAAACATTTCTCGGAATATGCTGCACGGTATGTATGTGTTATAGTTACATAGTTATATTCCTTTACCTAACCTCTTTATTAATTACTTTCCATCATGAATATCTGCTTTGTATTATATAGTGAGTGATTTTTGAGAGAAATAATTTCTTACTTCAAAAGAACGATGAAAGAAAGAGGTAATTAAGGATTTGTAATTAATTTGCTTTTGAACTTCCTTCTTATTTATTTTTCTTAACAGTTACGAACTATGTTTAGTCCTATATATGGTTGTTTTATCTTCAATTTTGTGAAGTTGTAAATCCTGGGCCTAGCGCCCTCGTGGTACCATATGTGTCTATCTAATTTGATAAATAAATGTCGTTACAATCATGTACCTTTCCAAGTTACTTGTCAAACATTTTTTTTTGTTACTTGTCAAAGTTTTGCTTATATACATCGGAGGCATAAACTTATTTAGACTCTTCAATGCTCATCGTGTATTTCTCTAATATGAAGCTCTATCCCTGAAGTTTACTCCTCCTTCTGTCATTCCAAATCTCTTAATATTTCTTTTGAAAGCTGTCCAAGTTTGAACTTTTTGTAGGCTTGAGTTATGCTATAGCTAGTACATCCTATACCTTCAAAACGCAAAGACTATCTTATTCTTCCCAACATTTGAAAATGAATATTTCAAAAATCGAATTTGTTGAGTACTAGGTTTTTGCTTCATTTTATTCAGCCATTTAAAGTGATTCATGCATCATATTCTTAATCAATGATGCAATAAAGATGTGAATATCTAGGACGCGAAGTGGAATATCTGCCATGTATTTGTGGAATATGTTAATTTCCTGTTCAGGCTTTAGTGGGAAGTAATGAAAATTCTAATATAGGCGGTTGTATACATCTCTTTGAAATCTTAAATGTAGGTAGATGTCAAAACATTCCTTCTACCATTTGAATTTTTTATACACTTACGTGCAACATTTGTTTTTAATGTAATGTAACTTTAAGGGGCAAACCTTGGAGCATTAGTAAGGTTGCTCCTTTTTGATTGGAAGGTCACAGGTTCAAGTCTAAGAAACAACTTCTTTGAAAAAATGCAAGGTTAAGACTTCATACATTCAACCCTCACCCATACCTTCGCAAAGTCGGAGAGCCTTTTGCACTAGGGTTTCTCCTTTTGTCCTTTTTAATGTAATTTTTGACAATATCATACTTCTATTTCCAGTATAGACAAAGATATTGTATTTACTTCTTTTCTTGATATGTTAAGCTATGCTCTAGTATGTGGTTGAAGATCGATATGTTTTATAAAGGCTCTTTTGAGCTGTTTTGGCTTCTATAAATATGAGATACAAAACTGGTGCATAATCATCTTGCTCTCTATAGCAGGCCTTTACACTTGAATATATTATCACAATTATATACATTGTCATTTTCTCTGTGTAGCTTTTATGCTGCGGAGGTCCTGCTGGCTCTTGAATATCTTCACATGCTTGGAGTTGTGTATAGAGACCTTAAACCTGAAAATGTGTTGGTCCGAGATGATGGTCACATAATGCTCTCAGATTTTGATCTTTCCCTCAGATGTGCTGTTTCACCGACTCTTATTAGAACTTCCTACAATGGCGACCCTTCAAAACGGGCTGGTGGTGGTGCATTCTGTGTTCAACCTGCTTGTATTGAGCCATCATCAGTATGCATCCAACCTGCATGTTTTATTCCTCGGCTTTTTCCTCAGAAAAACAAAAAGTCGCGGAAGCCAAGAGCTGAGCCTGGGATGCCTTCTAGCACACTTCCAGAGCTTGTTGCTGAGCCTACTTCAGCACGATCTATGTCCTTCGTTGGCACCCATGAATACCTCGCCCCTGAAATTATCAAAGGAGAAGGTCATGGCAGTGCAGTTGATTGGTGGACATTTGGAATTTTCTTGCATGAGCTATTATATGGTAAAACCCCTTTCAAAGGGTCAGGAAACCGTGCTACACTTTTCAATGTAGTAGGCCAGCAACTCAGGTTTCCCGAATCACCCGCAACCAGTTATGCCAGCCGGGATCTTATCCGTGGCTTGCTGGTGAAGGAGCCACAGCATCGTCTTGGGGTTAAGAGGGGTGCAACTGAGCTCAAGCAACACCCTTTCTTTGAAGGTGTGAACTGGGCATTGATTAGGTGCAGCACACCACCAGAAGTGCCAAGACCAATGGAAAATGAGCTACCAGGGAAGGTTGGAGCAGTTGATAATGTTAGTGTTGGCAGCACTAGTAAGAGGATAGTAGGTACTGACATGAAGTCTGGTGGTAAATATCTGGACTTTGAGTTCTTTTAGTTTGGATTCCTCAAACTTCTTTTTATTGTATTGCCATTATTCAGTTATTTTCACAGAGGGCTGCTCAGCATTACCATGTAATTTCAGCTTACCTGCCTTTTGGAAAAATTCCGTTTCAGTTGGAAATATTAAGATACCCCAAGTTTAGATTAGGTTGGATCTCCTTGTCTGATCCCAGAATACATATGGATAATCCATAATGTAGTGTTTCTATACAGAATTTAAAACTTCTCATGAAAATTATTAATCTCTATATACCTTTCTGGGCAATTTTTCTGATGCTATCAAGTGCAGCCGATGGCATTTGGTATATGCTATTCCTTCACGTCTATGATTATCATGGCAGTTAACATAGAATGCTCTTGTGATAAGGAACAATCACAATCTGTTCTCCGGTTAAAAGGGCAAATCCTATTGCAAAAAAAGTTTCTGACTTGCGAGAGTAGGGATGACAGTTGATTACCTTCGAGTCACAAGTAGATGTGGTAAAGTGGACAGCTCGTCCTGTTGTCAACATGCCTACAAATGAGCTAGTCGTCCCCCGTCCTGTCTCGCTTTTGAAAGTGAGCTGAGAAATCCTTTTTTTTTATTAAGATATCTTACACTTTTTTTTTATTAAGATATCTTAAACATTAAGATATCGTAAACTAGAAGATTTCCACAATTGCCAATTCAAAATGCATTCTCCACTTAAATTCATAACGGATTATATTTAAAAATTAGATAAATAAAAAAGGTTGGTGGGTAATCAAACTTATCCCGCTCTACCTCATTTGATAGGCGAGGTGGGCTGAGCCCGTTTTATTATCTCTAATCACAAGGAATAACCTTAGCGTAGTTTTAAGGGGACATTTGATAGAGGAGATGTTTCTTTTATCAGGAAAATTTTTTTGTTGGGAACATGGTGGAAAAAACTTATTGCTAGATAAGATAAGAAAAGCTGTTTGAAATGCCAAAATTTATTGTCGGGTAAGATAAGAAAATGTGTTGGCGGTGGTCAAATTTTTTTACCACACCTTGGATCAGTGGCGGACCCAAGAAAATTTCTCTATGTCCGCCGCACATTTAGTGGCGGGAGTTCAGGAGCAGCGCCCCCGAATTTTTTTATTTTGTAAAAAAAAATTAAATTAACGCTTGAACCCGCTCATAATCTAGTTCCTTCCATAACAAAGGATAAAGAAATCATGGGAATGGGTATGTGACAGAGGAAGAAGAATAAGTTTTCTCTCTAATCAATTTGCGTTGCTACGTTGTTTTAATCATCTCTGTGCGTTGCTACGTTGCTAACTAATATAAGAATAAATATCATTTTTGGTCTCTAACAAAAAATTCGGTCTCCACTTTAGTCCATTATAAAAAAAAAGTCACCTGGTCCCTATAAAATTTAAAGTGGACCTATTTTAGTCTTTTTGAGACTAATGTAGGTCTTTTTTGAATTTGTGAGGGAGCACGATTTTAATTAAATTGATCCACTTTGAATTTTTTAGGGACCTCCTCGAGACTAATTTTTGGTAAAGGACTAAAATGGGAACCATATTTTTTGTTAGGGACTTAAAATGATATTTACTCCTACTATAAATATTGAACCAAGAGACAAATAATAACCTACATGACTACAAAAAAAAAAAAAAAATTAAAATCCAAAATCTCATGTCCACACTTGCGGACATGTGACCCAACCTGGGTCTGCCAGTGCCTTGGATGGTAATATTTTATAATGAGATAATGTGTAAAACATGTTTCCCATCAAAAAAAATTTGCTACCCATTTTTTTATTTTACTCCTATCAAACATAGCTAAACTATTTTCTTCATCCCACTCTCCCCCGGGGAATTTTTTTTCCCCTCCTACCAAACACCCCTAAGATTCCATCTCCGCTAAATTATATAAATTTAACGATTTTAGAATTAGTGTTATTGCTAGATATAATAACTTTTTAAAGGATCATGAATAAAACAAAAATAAAAAAGCGCACTCAATGGAGGGGAACAGTGACCAAAATGCCACTGTTCACCAAGTTTTTTACCTAAATGCCACACGAACAGTGTTATTTTCTAATCTGCCACAGGGGTAAGTTCGCTACCCGGTGTAGCGAACTCGGTTTGCTGATGTGTCGCGTTTCTAGTGGACACCAAATTCGCTACATGGGGTAGCGAACTTCATGTTTTTTTTTTTTTTTTTAACTTTGTACTTGTTATCCACTAGAAATGTGACACGTCAGCAAACCGAGTTCGCTACACCGGATAGCGAACTTGCCCGTGTGACACATTAGGAAATAACACTGTTCGCGTGGCATTTAGGTAAAAAACTTTGTGAACAGTAACATTTTAGTCCGTAAAAGTCTTCCTGCTTGCTATGCTGATTTCCAGAACTCTTCTATGAGAAGTCTGAAACCTATTATGAGTCAATTGGAGTCAAGAGACTACCTAGATTTTTCAGTTGGGAAAATCTAGGTAGTCAAATGGAGTCAAGAACTCTTCTACTTCAAGAGACTCGTTAATCTTGTTTAGTTGGGAAAGCCTAGCTTATTATGCTTTGTAAGAGTAGATTTTTCAGTTGAATCTTGGGTTTGATAGAAATCCACACTTGAATAACAGTTTCTATAATCATCCTAATATAAGATATTTTGTAAATTTTGTCAAAATAATGTATCAACTATCAAGCCATCCATTATGAAGGGGAAAATATCTCTGATTTTAATCACACTAACAAATTATATGGCAACATATTTTGTTAAGAATATCTTTTCCAAAAAAGTATTATTTTAAACTGCAAAAGTCTCGCAATTTTTTTCTCCCTACAATTATGTTATATTTTGTGGAACACACAGCGTTGAGTCAAATGGTTTTCTAGTCTTCTAATTTTCCCATTTATAAAACACAACAAATACATGATAAAAGCATCAAATCATTGAATGGACGTTCAAATGAAAGAGGAAATGAGGACCATAACCCACAGAGCAGACTTTCCATTTTAATGATATAATCACTACTTTTAATGGTTTTTATTTGGTCCCCACTACATCATTTTGCTCTCATGTATAATAGCTTTTTTTTGCATGGGGAAGAACGAAGACTTATCAATATAATGCAATCTTTATAACCTTATCAAGAAGAGATTTGTATTTGTTATTTAACATGACACAACAAACTTTTTTACACACACAGTATTTTGTGGGGTTTATATTTTTTGAAGAAAAAAGAAAAAGAAAAAATCACGGCACGCAAAACGAATCTCTATAATATTACACAATCACTTTTACTACAACATAACTCTTATAAAAGCCTATCAAAATTTACTCATCTATCACTATTTCTCTCTACAGCCCTTTCTTGAAAACATAAAAGGTTTCTGAAAGCTGCAACACTTCTAGCAGTGGCATCAGCTAGTTAGGCATCAGTTAATTTTTAAAAATGATATATATTTTTTAAAAATTATAGTAAAGTTTTAATATTAGTTGAGTTTTTAAAAATAATGTAATCTTGACCCTGACTTAATTTTATTTAGTTGAGTCTTTTGGTACTGGTTGAATTTTTCTTCTAGATTCTAGTTTATGATAACACGGAGAGACCATAGCAAGCCTGAACTAAGGCTATCTTTAGATGGAGGAGTTTAGAATAGAAAACAAAAGAGAAAAATTTTATTTCTAATTTGAGAAAATTATAAATTTTTATTAAAATTAAAAAAGAAATAAATGAAAAGTTACATGGTAATATTTCATTTAATTTCTCTCATTATAAAATATTTTCAAATAAGGGGAATATTTAATTATCCACCCAGTCGTTTCTCCTTCAAATTCCATCCAAACATTCCATCCACACACAAAATTAAAATTAAAAATAAAAATAAGAGTTTTAACTAATTGAGTTAACCTGCATTTAGTGCATGATGATATATAATTATCAATAACTAAATAAATATATAACTCTTAATAGCTTGCTTAACAGATTATGTTGTTGGCCCTATTTTGTCATATAATTGCGACAGGACTGGATCCTGAAACATAATTTGGATCCTGAAACCCGTAACTTTAATGCGGTATCCACTTCAAAGATAAAAAGCATCTTATGTTTTTAAGAGATCACACTAACCAAATTTTAGGGATAAGATTAAAAAAGGAGGAGATAATTGTAATACCCTCAAAAGATAATAATGAATAAAACAAAAATTCCAGCTTTACAATGAAATTTCAACAAGCCTTTATATTGGTGGGTCAAAATACATGTACAAGATATTATACAAATAATAATCCTTAGGAAAAGCTAAAAGAAAAAAAAAAGATAGCTACATCTTTGGGGTATAGTGTTTGATCCTCTCCAGTACCGTCTTTGCAAAGGATTTAAAGTCTTAATATCGAATCCGTCCCAAATCAGATTAGTCGCGAAGCGATAAATCAAATGGAATATTTAAAAGTGAGAGAGAGAAAAAAAAATAAAAGAAAAATAAAAAGAAAGAAACAGAAAACGGAACAAGATAAGAAGCGAAAAGCTTCTGGACAACAGCATGTAGTCAATTAGAGATAGCCAAAAGATTCTAGACAACAGCATAAGGATGGAAATAATCTTCAATCAAACACTTTGAATGATGATTCACACATTATAGCTGTCAAGTGTCAATGGGGTATGGTGTACTGGAAATGAATTTGCTGAACTTAGATTCCAAGCAGAACTAACAATTATTGGTGTTGGGAGAGCCACTCCTTATCAGGCACAGAATCAGGAAGGGTCATACCAACCATATAATATGAGTTGTAAAACTTCCTTCTTAGATTTCTCAAAGGTGAAGATTTTTTCTCAAGTTCCTTGAAATCTTGAGCTCTTCAGATTGCTTAACAGATATAGCATGGATAACATTGATGAAGCTTTTGATGGCTATAGATGCAACTGTGTCTGGGACACGGTCAAGAGCAAGTTTCCATTCATCACAAAAGGAAAAGATATCAGATGATTCCATGTTACTGTTGTTGATGTTGTCATTATTGATTGGAATAAGGTTCAGCTCAAACCAACCATGTAGAGACAGGGTGAAGTCCCTTTGAAATTTTATAAGGAGGCAAAAACTGGAATGCCAAGTTGAAACAGCTGATTCAAGATCCCTAGTTGCTTGCTTGTGCAATTCAGATGTTTATTGACCTTTTGATGAAAGGTTCACAAGGCCAGGGACTTGCTGCAAAATGTTGCTTTGAATTTCATGGTACTGGTGCATTGATCTCCACATGTACATGATTCTACATTTAGTATATCACAAAAATATAAG